TTTTTAAAATCTTTTTCATGGAGTTTTACTCGTTTTTTGACATGCTTACTAAAAAAAAGCATCATATGTAGTCAATCAATTGCATGTTTTTTAACTTATTCAATACTAGCAGATTGTTTAAAAGTTCACTTATATTAACTTAAGTTCAATGTGTTTCATCGATCATGTATTGATTAATATCTGTCTTTTTAGTCTATACAAAAAAGTCTTTCGTTTTTGATGAAACATAAAATAATGTATAAGTTTCGCAATAAAACTTCTGTAAAGTGATCGATCTCGTAAGCAACTATTTTTTTACAATGTGCCAAGTAAAATTGCGCTTACTTTATCAGTAATATGCTATTTCAAGAAATGTGTAAGCGTGTCAAACAATAAAAAAAATTCTGTTAGTTTTGTTGCAACAAAAATAATGGCGTCCTTGAACTATTAAATTGTGTGTCACACTCAGCTACCAAAAAAAACCTGTTTTAATTTACTCGTATGAAAGTTTTTGAGTATCTATTCAGTTTTTCTATACTAAAATTTACTCCAATCCTTCATTGATATATAGTAAATTTACTGTACCCGTAGAGTCTTTCATATAATAATTCACAAAAAATCAATCTTTTAAAGAAACTTTTTAACTCATGTTTACTTAACACGCTCACGTCATTCACTGAGTATAGCTTAATTTAACGCGATTTTGTGAGTACATACTCAATAATATAAGTTAGACCATTATACTAGGCAATTGAAGGTTCGTAAAGGAGACTTTTCGAACGAGTATCGGNAGAGATAAGTAGAGAGATTGCTAACGCCAATGCTACGGCGTGAGACAACTTTTTTCCACTGATCGGGGCGACCCGCCGCGGCCAGCCGTCGAACCAAGGCGCACATTTTTCGAGAGTGCGAGAGTCTCACGCCGTAGCATCTAGCATTGGCGTTAGCAATCTCTCTACTCATCTGTGGCCAAAGTGAAGCAGACGCTCATACGGTCAACTTAACCCTCGTCCACCCCAACAACCATCAATAACCTCTAATTTCTCGCTACCCACTACTGAGCGTCCTTTCAAAGGACTAAGTACTCCTTTGGAGGGTGTATCCTTGGTCCTTGGCTCTTGGCCTTGGACATCAAATACTTTATCTCTCTAGCAGTTCCGTCCTGTCCTAGACCCATCTTTTCTTCACGTCGACTCGGTATACAGCCCGGTCAACATGCTCTATCGGACTAAAAAATGAGGTAAGCATGCTTATTTATATGCGTTGCACACTATCATCACCTAACCTCCTTACAATACAAATTCTCTCATATACAACGTCATCCTCTCCAAATAGGCTAGCATACTAGTAATACCAAGCCCAAGACAGCAGTAAGTAGCTCCAAAAGTAGAGCGAAGCTCTTCTACTTCTAGTGTATACTTATACACTTGTAGCCATATACTTGATAAGTAAGCATTCGATCCACGAGTCACACCCTGCAGTGTTACCATCTTCCGTCTCGCTGTAGTATAGTAGTCTCGGGATCTCCGTACTGAGTGCCTTCCGTTTTCCGTCTTTCTAGAGAAGAGAAGCTGAAGTTGCTGAAAATGGCATTTCAGCCGATTCTCAACCCTGTAAGTAATAAGTACCTGTTTATTGTTAGCTTCTCGCGTATGGTTTGGTGGCCGCCATGCCAATTGGGCGTGTGAAACATAATGTACAATTATATTTCCGACTCCGCAGGAGTTGCCGCTCGTTCACGAGCTGGAGTCTAGCCTCGCGCCCGGATTGATGCTCAAAGTCCAGGGCCGCGTGCCCGAGGGCGCGAGTCGCTTCGCCATCAACTATCAGCTCGGTCCGGGACTTAACCCCCGAGACGACGTGGCGCTCCACGTGTCGCCGAGGTTACGTGAGGGCTTCATCACGCGCAACCACATCCAGGCCATGAATTGGGGCCCCGAGGAGAACGACGGCCCCATGTGGATACAGACAGGGGAACCCTTCGAGATTATCGTTCTCTGCGAGTACAGCTGCTTCAAGATAGCCGTCAACGGTAGGCATTTTACCGACTTTGCGCACCGAGTGCCTATCGATAAGGTCACGCATCTTACCATCGACGGCGAGGTCGAGGTTGGCTCTGTCTTCTTTGAGACAATCTCCATTCCAGCACCCTCTGCCCCGCTGCCAGACGTTCCGGCGGTCAATGTCGGCCCACCACGTAAGTCTAACGGTTACTCTGTACGATGGTGGTGATTACTCTATTTGATTGTCTGGTACCTAATTCGATTGTTATTGCGTTGCAGCGCCCGGTGGTGTCTATCCGACCTTGAATCCAGACGAAATGTATAGACCAGCACCAATGCCAAACATTGGCGGTTATGGAGGCGATTCATCGCGTGTCTATCATCCTGAACCCCAAAAGTCCGAGGATGATGCCTTTGGCAGTTGCCTGGACAAAGTTGGTCTAGCTGTCGGAGGATTTGTAGCTGCAGGTGGTGTTGCCGCGGCCATGCATGCCTATCAGGTGAGCGTTGTAATAACGTAACGGTTACAACTGTTTTCAATTGACATTTTGGTTTTTTGCTAAACAATTTTTTTTTTGTCAACTATTATTCGTCATGTAGAAAAGTAGGCAAAAAAGTCCCGATGAGGCTGATCATGTAAAGACAGAAGCAAAGGAGAGCGAGAGTGGACTTGGTGGATTGGGAGCCCTGGGTGCTGCATTGGCCAGCAGTTTAGCATCAAATGCTTTCCAAGGGGATAAAAATGCTCATGCACAGCAAGGATATCCCAGTCAAGATGGCGGAATGCTTGGATCAATTCTAGGAGCTCTGGGTAATTACTTATTTTTTTGATAGTTGATAATCAACTTGCCACTTGCATGAAAATTGTAATTCCATACTTTTTAACATTTCAAAGTTTTTGTAAATAGTGTATGCTAGACGTAATATGGTTTGAAACATAATATTTTTATATCCATCACTTGATTTGATAAATACCGTGCCCCATCCACGCCTGTAAGTAACTTGTAGCGATAGAGCTGCGGCACTGTCTATATAGTACAGGCATAGAGCTTTATTTCTTTCTAACATATGCATGTCTTAACCACAGTCGTCGTATCGAAACCTGATCTTAACATAAAATACTCTTCAAATAGTGTGGTATTACTAGTAGTTTTATAAAAATCGTTTTTAGGTAATTGTATTCGAATTTTTTCTGAAAAGATTTAAAAGATTTGATAACATTTTTAATGAAGTACCTCAGCTATTGGATAACCTCTGTAATATGCAGGAATATCATCTGTTCATTTTACTAAATTAATTTTTTTTTTTTTTTTTTTCTTCCATTTTAAATTTTCTAAGTTGAGTCATAACCTAGGAAACCTACCTTAAAGTTTTTAAGAGTCAGTAATAAAATCTAGAATTTAAAAATAACATTTAATCAATAGTACTAGTAGAAGTCATTATGTCAGGTCTTACTTAGATGATATCACATAGAAAGTCATCTAAAGTTACCGCGAAGGTCGGTCGTACTTGTGTAATTGCTGATTATATCACTAGGAATAATCAGCCTGTAGTAGAAACATCGTTATGTTTTAAACAGTCAATGTTGAAGGATTTTTTTTTTTAAAGCTGCTCTAATTTTTAAGTTAACAACTACTCGTTAAATTTTTTATTGTTATAGAACTTTAGTAAATAAAAAAAAGGGACATTGATTTCAACTATTCAGTTCGAGTAGTAATAAAAAGTTAGTCAAGTATTCATGTATTTCCAGTAAATTAACTTAAAAAATTTTAGATTTAAAACCATCTAAAGATATTTTTTTTAACCTGCAATACAAAAGCTGTGTAGTAGTCCCTTGAAAAATTAAAGCTGCGTAATAGTTCAGGCTTTCTGGTGACAATTCACTGTTTGACGCTACATAATTCCCATCACATGAATAAATCTGTCGATCTATATTGCATACGTCTTGTTTCATTTTCAGTAGAAAATAATATCCTTCAACTTACAAGCTACCTTGAAACCGCAGTCTAGATAGATTTTATTCCCTTTATTTTAATCAGGTCGAGGTTTCAAGGATATAAAATATTTACGAAAAGTACTTGAGCAAACAGCCACAAATCAGATGCGTCGATTGGATACCTTTACGTTTCAGCTATCCCAAATGTCTCACTTTCCACTTCCAGGAAGTAGTGATAGATATCTGCAATTATTTTGATTTTCTATAACGTATTGCGTGTCACGCTAATGCAATTTGATTCATTTTTATCATCAATTTAACAGTAGATTTATGTAGTGCACTGTTAATTGGTGAGTAAAATCTTAATTTAAAACAAATTATGCTTTATCTTCATTCATTCATAATTTTGTTTGCCAGTTTGCAATATAATTTGATTTTGATACATTTATTATTCTTCGTGTGTGTAAATGTTTCAGAAATTTAAGTACTAAGTTTTGTTGTTCCGACACGCATTCGTTTTTAAACAAAATTTTTTTTTCATATTTATAAGACACATCAATCTTTGTAAGTCGATTAGTTATTATAAATAAATATCATTTTGAAATTTCAGGAGGTGGTGGGGCTCCACAGCCGAACTATCAGCAGCCCGCAGCAGATCCTCTATCTGGAGCATTAGGCTCCATTCTTGGCGGAGTTTTAGGAGGTGGTTCTAGTCATCAACAGCAACCTCAGTATCAGCCATCAGGTGGTTATAGTAACCCTCAAAGTCAAAGCTCCCAAAGTAGCGGTGGAGGTGGTAGTGATTTACTAAGTGGATTAGGCGGTGCTCTTTTCAAGTCTGCCATGGATGGTCTCGCCAAACATGTAAGTCAAAAGATTATACAAGAACGTAAACAAGGTCCTTTGACTTCGAGAAAAATGTAGTAGTCTTCCTTTACCAAACGTGGCTTTATTCGTCATTGCAGTGTAACACATCGCTTTTAGTTATAAGCTTTATATAATTTATATTTGTAAACTTGACGCACACATTTTTAATTATCTTGAAGACTGGCTGCTAGTCACTGTTTCATGATTCAGTTGAATCTGAACTAATTGTTATTTCATGCTATCACCAATAGAAATCAAGCTATGAATGATCTACTTTTTTACTTCGTTTTAAGTAGATAATATATATTTTTATGCTTTATGATTTTTTTTTTTTTTTTTTTTTTATTTTTTTTTTTTTTTTGCCTTATTACATTTGTTTTCTCTTTCCTCCCCTGTGGACCCCTGACTCGCTTTTTCCACACCGAGCTCCCTTTTTAGCGTCTCTCTCATCATTTAATACTATACATCCATGCGCTACAGATGAAAACTCCTGGGGGCGATCCAGCCCAGGTCACGACGACTGCGACGACGGTGAAGGAGAAGAAGAAGATGGCGAAGCACGGCCGCGGGCTAATATTGAATTTTAAGAAAGTCGGCTCTACACCCCCGCCCCCAAACACTAGCAGTAGGAGGGATGGGAGGGTGGCCCCCACAGTATCAACCTATACCGTGCAACCGAGATAATAAAAATATGGACGTATAATTTGACGGCAAGGTCTAGAGGTCCAAGCGAGGGGTGAGGCTAAGGGTAGTTCATGAAATGAGCGCTGATAATGCCCCCTGTAGTTCCCCTCCTCTGCCCGGCAAGCGAGCGGAATTTCAAAGCTCGCCCAAGGTTTTATATTGGGCATTTTTCGGCTAATTATGTCTGAATGGACGCTTAAAAATCTGCTGGGAAAAGTTATTTTATCGCCGAGCTGTGCAGAGGGGGTGGCCGGGCGCGTCTGACTTTTCATTTTTCATTCCAATGCATATACCTATACCGCACATGATGCCTCGGGACGTAAACTTGAATGCTCAGCGCGATTAGGATGAAATATGACGGGGGCTTAGGACGTCGTAAGGCGTTTAAGGAAAAAACGTACCAAGGAAAGGGGGGGTGTAATAATTTTAATGGCGATGCTTTTGCGCATATACTTCGCTTTTGGTATTCAAATACCTTTACGCACTGCAGATAGTTATTTTCAGGTCTTAAGTAAAAAGTTTTCCTATTTTTTTATTTCCCGAGCATTTTTCAGATTGAAAAAGTGTATACCTACGTTAATAGTATTGGGCGGTGTGATCGTGACTTATACAAATGATTTTCATCGTTTTTATTGTTTGATATTCTATCTTATTAAATCAGAATATTATCAGCTATGCACACCATCCAAAAATCT